TGGGGTAGTGAGTTCTAGAGGATGGGGGAAGACCTGGAGAAATCCTGGAGTCGGGCATGGGAGGAGGAGACCAGGGAACTAGAGAGTAGGAGGTCTTGTGAGGAGCGAAGAGTACGTGTTGGGTGGTATTTGGATATCAGGTCGGTGAGGTAGTTTGGGGCAGTATTATGGATAGCTTTGTATGTCAATGTTAGTAGTTTGAATTTTATGCGTTGGGCAATCGGAAGCCAGTGGAGGGAATGACAAAGGGGGGTGGCGGATACGGAGTGGTTGGTAAGGTGGATGAGTCTGGCTGCTGAGATCAGGATAGACTGAAGCGGGGATAGTCTGTGATGAGGTAGGCCGGTGAGTAGGGAGTTGCAGTAGTCGAGTCGTGAGATAATAAGGGAGTGAATGAGTTGTTTAGTAGTGTCTGGGGTTAGGAATTAATGTATTTTGGAGATGTTGAGGAGGTGGAGCCTGCATGAGTTTGCCAGGGTTTGGACATGGGGCTGGAAGGATAGGTTGGAGTCTAGAGTGACACCTAGAACTTTGGCTTGCGGGTGGGACTGATGGTGGCGTTACTGGTCGTGATGCAGGGGCTGGGGGGAAAACTAGGAGCTCGGTTTTGGAAAGGTTTAATTTGAGGCAGTGGAGTGGTGGTTGCATTAGTTTTCTTTTTTCTGGCATTTTCAGCAAGTATAGAAATGCAGAGTCCATATCACTTCATGTGAGACAAAAATACAGCAAAAAACAAACAATGTTATATTTCTCGTGTAAACTACTAGCCCCATTAATCCACCGTGTAGTAGATCTGAACAAAGGCAGCCATGTTTGCTGTCCAATCTGTACGATAACTAGGGCTACCTCCATAGATACAGTGGAGAAGTGAGCATAGCCACCAAGGGACAAGAAATATATTACTGTCCAGATCACCATTTAAACATAAAGAGAAAGAAAAAAAAGTCACCTACTAATACCGTCACTGACGTCAAGAGATTTATACAGAGTACATTTATCAATGAGAAACCAACAGATATTTTGGACACGTCACATGAGAAGGTCCTCTAAATTTGGAAGCCATGGATTGACTATTATTCATCCACTCAATCACCTGCACATCTACTGGACCTATAGAGTGGCATTATAGCAGCTGCCTAGCCCATTGTGACGGCCTATTGGGTTGATCTCATCCCTTTCCTCCTTTCCTTTCCCCTCCTTCTTCTCTGGACTCTGTACTGATCTCTTCCTCCTTCTTTAGCCTTTTTTCCTATGCTACATGAAATGGACTCTGATTTTGTTTTACTTTTGTCTGTTCCCCCTGCATTCAAACTGTTTAACGGGCTCTATTACAGGAGGAATAGAATTGTTGAACTACCGATTTTGCCCACTTCATCTGCTTACATGGGCAGTGCTGGACCATTGTCTTGTGTATATGTCTTTGGCTGCTACCTTCACCACTCTTACCATTGGTAATTGTACAGTGATGGCTTTCTGGCCTGCTTCTCAAAATCTGATTTTTTGTTTGAACTTTTTTCTCTCTCCATCTTACACCTGAATCCCTTACAATGGCTTGACTTAGAGTGGCGTTCCACTCAAAAGCGTAAGCTCCACTTATTTGCCTCCTCCCCCCTTCCACTGCCATATTTGACACCCTCTGGGGGGGAGGGGGGATCGGATACCTGTTTCTGACAGGTACCCACCTTCCACTTCTGGCTCAGTTTGCCGCAGCAAAGTGAGATGGAAGTTGGGCCCCCTCCTACCTCCCGCAGTCTCCTGGGAACTTTCACAGGTCTCAGAAGACTGCTGGACCAATTAGGAAGCGCAGCACGACTCGCGCATGCATAGTGGGCACCAGGCTGTGAAGCCACAAGATGTTACAGCCTGGTGTCCACAGTTGAGATGCCAGCACCGTGGAGGAGAGAAGGCGAGAACATCGCTGGACTCGGGGACAGGTAAGTGTGTTTATTAAAAGTCATCAGGTACAGTTTTTGTAGCTGCTGACTATTAATAAACACAAAAACCTCTGAAACGCCGCTTTAAGGACCACGAGGTCATGACAATTCTTGTATCCTTTTCAATAAAATTCAAGTGACAGAGAAAACCAATGCAGCCACCATATTTAAAACTACTAAACCCACAACAGTAAAATCAGTCTGTATATGCAGTAAAGCATGCTTGTTATACTCACTGTGGAACCTAAGGGGTTAATCCTCTGCATTGTGTAAAAAGGCTGTTTGATCTTTTCTTCTCTGCTCCTCCGCTTGTTCAAATGCCCACACTGATAAGACAGACTGAACTGTGCCCTTCTGCACATGCTCAGTTTAGTGTGTATTGCTAGTAAAGTTTTTTTTTTCTTGGGAGAGTGCATGTGATCAGCACAGGGCCAATCAGCAGTGTCCCGACAGAGGTCAGGGGATTTCCATCCTCCTGGAGCAAAAAGAAAACTCCTCCTACAAGCTGTAACCAGTGTTCTGCTGAACACTGATAGAAGTCACTAGACTGCTCTAACTGCTGATGAGAAAAGATATTTAGCAGTTTATATTTACTCAAATAATTGCATTTCCATGTTCTGTGTACTGTGGGAGACCAGATATAGTGGATGCAGGGTCCAGGGTTTAGTAACATTTTAAGAACCAGTAAACTGCAAAATAGTCCATTTTTGTTTTTGGGTTTGGATCCACTATAAGTGATACTGCTGCTGTTGCAGCTCACCATAAAAATTAAACAGTAAATAAACAAAACATATTATGAATAGTTGATTAGAACTTTTACACAATATGAAGTTCTCTTTAAGCCAAAACATTGTAGAAAAAAATATGAGTGGGATGGACCACACAGTACCAGAACCCAGACAGCCTAGAGACCTTGTCTACTGACATTACTGGAAGCACCAGTCATTTCCTCTTGGCAGGCACTCCTCAGACACAGGCAGCTCTAAGGTTAGAGAAAAGCTTGTCTGCTCTCAAAACTCCATCAGCCTTCAAATTCATCAGACTATGCCCCACCTATCCCTTGTTGGTACATAAATAATGTGATATGCCATACAATACAGGCGCAGGTTACATTTTATATTCTTGGCATGCGAATTTTTGGAAAATGAAAAAAGAGTGCCATCTAGTGGCTGTATTTGTGAGCTGCATGGCACAAAAATATGTAGGCAACGCTTACTATTGACTTTAAAAAAGGTCAGCAATTCGACATTTGAAACATTTTAAAAGGATAAATGAAGAAAATGTGTGGAAAAATGTCTACAGTTAACCACTTGCCCTCCAGAGGATTTGCCCCCCTTCCTGACCAGGCCATTTTTTGCGTTACAGTGCTGCGTTACTTTAACTGACAACTGCGCAGTCATGCAACGCTACACCCAAATGAAATTTATGTCCCTTTTTTTTTTTTAACACGAATAGAGCTTTCTTTTGGTGATAAATGATCGTCTGTGCATCTTTTATTTTTACACTATAAAAAAAATAAAAGACTGACAATTTTCAGAAAAACAAAAAAAAACAATATTTTTGACTTTTTGTTAATAAACATGTCCAGTAAAAAAATTTAAAAAATCTAATTTTGTCATAAATTTAGGCCAAAATGTATTCTGCTACGTGCCTTTGCTAAAAAAAAAAAAAATCCCAATACATGTAATACGTGAAAGTTATAGCATTTACAAATGGCGGTATAGATACTGGAATTTGTTTTTACTAGTAATGGCGGCGATCAGTGAATTATTGCGGGCTGCGGTGGGCATTCTGACACTGGGGGGAACTGACTTGGTGTCACTCACATCCCCAGTGACACCAATACAATGATCTGTGCTAATAAAAAACAATGACACTGTACTAATTGCACTGGGCAGGAAGGGGATAACGTGGGACGATCAAAGGGTTAACTGTGTGCTGTTTCACAGTAAGCTGTGTCTCTGCATTCACATGTAAGTATACTGCTTTTTACGGCTCTGCTATGCACAGCCATATAAAGCAGTGTGCTGGAGCTTACAGGGAGAAAACTGTATTGTTTACATACAGTTCTCTCCCCCAGTTGGGAATACTAGGTAATCACCGGATGCTGGCAAGTAATCACCGCCCGGGATCCGGTGATTGACAGCCGAGGCAGGTAGGACTCGTGTGCACCCCCTATCCTCGAATGCAAAATGTATATATATATACATTTTTGCACACCCCTGCCGCGCTGTAGCATTATTACTGCTATAGGGTGGCGGGAATGTGGTTAAAGTGAATGTCAAGGACAAAAAAACAAAACAAAAAAACAGTACATCTCTGCAATACATGCACCTTTCCTTGTGTTTTCCCTTAAAGACTATACTGTTTTTATACTAAAACTGCATGCGACCATTCAGTACCAAGTCAGGTCTGGGGGTTTGTAGTGTATATTGGGAATGTCCTTCAGAACTTAGTACACTGAGAATGCTCTGTGCTGATAATCAGACAGTCACACCAGTGGTAGTGGTGCACCGAAATGAAAATTCTGGTAGCAAAAATTCAAAATGCACTTGGCGGAAAACCGAAATGCGAAGTTTTTACAAAATATATGTTTTTTGGAAAAAAAACACACTTTGATTAAAAAAAACAATATATACCCTATTTTTTTGTAAAATATGAAAGAAAGATGTTACGGCGAGTAAATAGATACCAAACATGTCACGCTTTAAAATTTGTCGGCACCTGTATCAGTGCTTTTTTTCATTTCAGCTGACGGCTGAAAGGGGGTGTTTTCGGCCGAGACATTTCGCCCACTGACTTTTCGATGCATCCCTAACCTATGACCACTTGACAATATTTAAACCTGCGTCTTACAGACACATAGAAAGGTGACTAGAAGGATTTCTACAAATGAAATACATAGCCATTGTACCTGTGATTTAGTTATGTTCTGTCTCTGTTCAGACCTGTATTTTATGAACTGTAGGTGACAAACAAAATTGCAAAAAAACAAATGAAAATTTTGTAAATGTTGAATTTATTATAATACAATAAACACTAAAATGAAACATTCACATTTTATGATCAGTAATGCTTTACAAAGATATTCGGTGTTATCCAGCCGTTAGGTTCTTTTCTCAGGCCCGCCTTCTTCCAGATACGCACCATATCTTTTTCAAACCTTTTCTGTATAAAGGTAAAAAATGCAAATTAATAAAATCTTCCACAACCAATTATATTTCACTAGAATGATGTCATCTAAAATTACAGGATAACAGCAGTTAACAACATCTTTATTACCCAGTGATATGCTAGGTTTGGAAAACAACAATACAATGTATGTGGATCTCAGGTAACCAAGTTGTGTAGACAACTACAAATTTCTATTACAATGAACTTTAGCATTTAGGGAGGAATTGAACTCAAAAGTAAAGATTTTCTATATTGTAGGAATAATTAACAAATCTTAATTGTGCCTAAGCTGGACTGAATTAAATCAACCTATACCTACAGCCTCAAAGCTCTAAGTCTGCAATGTGAGTTCCAAGATACCGCTGCCTTTGACTGCTGGTCTCAAGGAATTTGGCAGGAGACTTGGCAATATAACTACTGTGCTGCTCACGGTTTGCCTTGCTGGAAGCTCTGAAATGAAAAAGCAAAACCCTGCCTCTAGCAAGATAGCTGCCTCCACACAGAGACACAGTGCAGAACAAGGCATGGTAATTTAGTAATGGGGAAAGATCAACTTCTGGGGGACCATAGGCAATACTGGTGACTAGCCCTTTGCCTGCTAGGGTTCAGTTCCTCTTTTGTATTAGTATCCACTGGCTTTTGTGTTTTACTTCTGAACAGATTTGTAAAACTTTTTTGAAGAATCTGTAAAGCAGTCTTTAAATTGGACAGTATACAGCATGGAGTGTTCACTCGTGTTACTTGTTTTTGCCATGTTTTCTGTTGTTTCTTTAACACAGTTTAACTATCAATGATTTATCTAATTTCTGGGCTCTGACCTTATGTTTGCACACACAAAAAGCCTTATAGATTGTCTGAATTATATCTAACTAGATTTCAAACTAAAGTATTCCTTTTGTGTTATAACAATTCTATAACCAAGGTAGAACAGAAAAAAGATGAAAAATGTTCACAGCAAATTCTAGATTTTTTTTGTACAAGTTTAAAGTATATCTTTTTTAAGTTCTGAATAGAGTGGTGAATGAATAAAACATCTGACTTTTTCATATCTGTGTCCCTTTGGGAATTTTCCTTCCCAAATCAAGATACAACTGGAAGTGAGAACAGTGCTCTCTAAAAGGAAGGGGAATCTCTCTTGGATACTTGTCACTGCAACAGGTGTTCCTGCTATTTCTGTTTCAGTAGCAACTGAAAATTTCAGATTTTCCCTCAATTTGCATCTTGTTGACTTGTGGTCATCTCTGCAATGGGGACAGAACCAAAAACCGTACAGAATTTCTAACCCTTCCCCCTTTAACCAAAACTAAAGACTGGCTTTAGATATACTTTAGGGTGATACTATGGTCTGTTCAGAGGCTGCTTCCATTACAGTGACATCGCCTGTATGTTTATAATAGAGAACTCCTGTTACCTGTTAATCCAGCTGCACTAACCTTATAATCAAGTATGATATACTGGTTCTGCCCCTTTTTACAAATTTTATTTACTTTCTTCATTTTCCAAAGAATTGTGGGAAAACAAATTACAGGATCAAATAGTCTAAAGCTGACAACTAAAGGACTAAGAATGGTGCGTTCATGTTCACAATGTGGCTGCCAACATTTTTCCTACATTATATGACCCAAAGTGTGTGGAAATCAAAGTGTGTGGAAATTATTCAGTGAAATGTACTGTTGACGCTGCAGCTTATAAACACATTTTAGATAACTGTGCACTTCAATGCTTGTGGTGACAGTTTGGTGAATGCCCTTTTCTGTTCTAGCATGACTGTGATTGTTTGAGGAGTTTAGTGTGGAGGATGTGGGGCGGCTTGCATAAAGCCCTGAACCCCCCCAAAATCCAACTCCCCCTCCCCACCATCACCCCCACTAAACATCTTTGGAATAAAATGGAACACTGACTGTGGGTCAGATCTTGTCATTTGACATCAGAACCTGATACAAATGCTACCAGAAGACCTCCCAGAAGTGCTGAGGCTGTTATAGCCGCAAAGATAGGCCAACAACACACAGATACCCATGGTTTTGTAACAGCATGGGCAACAAGCTCTAGGTGTGATAGTTGGGTATCCACAAACCTTTATCCATGCTCTACGTTACTGCAGTGCTTTAGAAAGAAATTGAGTTATTTGCATCAGTCCCTGTTGCTGCAGAAGCTTACAATGCAAAACTCACATACACGTGCATTTAAAAGACATACAGTTGTGTTCAAAGGTTTGCATACCATGGCAGAAATTGTGAAGTTATGGCAATAATAGTGAAAATGTGACTGATCATGCTAAAAAAACTGTCTTTTACTTAAGGATAGTGATCCCACCTGAACACTGCACATAAATGGCCAAGTGGGATCTTCGCCGTTCTGAGTGGATGTTCCTGAATGTCCCTCAGAACGTGGTCATACCGCTGCGTGCTCTCGGTGTGCTTGTGTCCCCTGGACACAGCGCAATGCGCCATGGCAGAAGGGCTCTCTGATTGGCCCTTCTGATCACATGATGCCTGTGTCCAATCAAAGCCATGATGTCAACAAAGTCGCCAGTCTGTTGATCGGCTCCTTCCTCTCCTCACACAGAGCCCGCTAGTGAGGAGCAGAGCTGATCTGTGAGTTACACACACATCACCCCATAGTGTCCTATACACATCTGTCACACAGTACCAGTGATCCACATCTGTCACACAGTACCAGTGATCCACATCTGTCACACAGTACCAGTGATCCACATCTGTCACACAGTACTAGTGGTCATCCACATCTGTACCAGTGATCCACATCTGTCACAGCGTACCAGCATAAATTCCACATCTGTACCAGTGATCCATATCTGTCAAGGCGTACCAGTGATCCATATTTGTCACAGCGTACCAGCATAAATTCCACATCTGTACCAGTGATCCATATCTGTCACATCGTACCAGCATAAATTCCACATCTGTACCAGTGATCCACATCTGACACGGCGTACCAGTGTAAAATCCACATCTATACCAGTGATCCACATCTGTCACAGCGTACCAGAGTAAAATCCACATCTGTACCAGTGATCCACATCTCTCACAGCGTAGCAGCGTAAAATCCACATCTGTACCAGTGATCCACATCTGTCAGGGTGTACCAGTGTAAAATCCACACCTGTACCAGTGATCCACATCTGACACAGTGTCCCAGTGTAGATTCAACATCTGTACCAGTGTCCACATCTGTCGCAGTATACCAGTGGTCATCCATATATGTACCAGTGATCCATATCTGTCACGGTATACCAGTGTAAAATTCACCTTTGTACCAGTGATCCACATCTGTTGCAGTGTACCAGTGGTCATCCATATATGTACCAGTGATCAATATCTGTCACGACCTACCAGTATCAAATCCACATCTGTCACAGTTTACCAGTGCTCAATATCTGTCACACAGTACTAGTGTAAAATCCACATCAGTACCAGTGAATAACATCTGTCACAGTGTACCAGAGTAAAATTCACATCTGTACCAGTGATAAACATCTGTACCAGTGATAAACATCTGTACCAGTGAACATCAAAATCGGCATCAGTAATATCAGCAGTGCAGCAACATGTCTAAAAAATTATACACCAGCGAGGAGGCTTTCCAGATACTGAGCATGACAGATGAGAGTAGCGGGGAACTCTCTCTGTCAAACTCTGATTCTGAATATGATCCAGTTGAAAGGAGTGGGTCAGCAACAGATTCTGAGGAGGAGAGTCCAAAGAGGTTCAGGAGATCTGAGGAGGAGCAGGCATCCACCAGTAGCGAAGTGGCGAGTACAAACAGCACAGCACTCCCAGAAGATAGCAGCAGAATGTATTTTGGGGTGTATTGTTTGGTATGTACATGCTATGTGTTAGAAATATCTTATAAATGGACAACTTTGTGTAAAAAAATACATTTTCATTTTCTTTCCACATTTTCTGAAAACTTGTGGAAAAAAATGACATGTTCAAAAGACTCATTATGCCTCACAGAATATACATTGGGGTGTTTGCCTTCCAAAATGGGGTCATTTTGTGGGTAATTCCATTGTCCTGGTGCTCCAGGTCCTTCAAAAATGTGATAGGTAGTCAGGAAATGAGATGTGTAATTTATTCCTCCAGAACGCGTGTAGGTACTACTTGGATGTTGGGCCTCTGTATGTGGCCAGACTGTGGAAAAGTCTTACACATGTGGTATCCCCATACTCAAGAGGAGTAGCAGAATGTGTTTTGGGGTGTAATTTTTGGTATGTACATCTATGTATTAGAAATATCTTATAAATGGACCACTTTGTGTAAAAAAAAAAAATACATTTTCATTTTCTTTCCAAATTTTCTGAAAACGTTTGGAAAAAAAAATGGCATATTCAAAAGACTCATTATGCCTCGTAGAATATACATTGGGGTGTTTTCTTTCCAAAATGGGGTCATTTTGTGGGTATTTCCATTGTCCTGGTGCTCCAGGGCCTTCAAAAATGTGATCGGTAGTCAGGAAATGAGATGTGTCATTTATGCCTCCCCAGAACACCTGTAGGTACTATTTGGATGTTGGGCCTCTGTATGTGGCCAGGCTGTGGAAAATTCTTATACATGTGGTATCCCCATACTCAGGAGCAGCAGAACGTGTTTTTGGGTGAAGCTGCAAGTATGCATATGCTGTGTGATAGGAATAACCTATTAACATAACAATTGTGTGAAAAAAAAACTAATTTTATTTACTTTCTTCATTTTCCAAAGAATTGTGGGAAAAAAAAATTACAGGATCAAAAAACTCACCATGCATCTTACTAAATTCCTTGGAATGTCTACTTTCCAAAAAGGGGTCATTTGGAGGGTATTTGTACTGTCCTGGCTTGTAATGCAGGCCATAGATGGGTCGTTAATCGTCTGATTTTTTCGGCCAAAAGAAGAATCGGACGATTTTCGTACCGTTAGTGGATTAGTTCGTCGGCTGTTTTTCGTGTATTTTGCACTTTCAGATTATCGGTTATGTTGGGAAATTTGCAGCCGATTTGGATGATCGGCTGATTTTCCCGGCAATGATGGCCAAATCGGACAATCGTTTTAACAATAAAAAAATCTGCGCATGAGCTGTGAACTGAAAGGGACAGAAGTTATGGGGTGAACTTCATGATTTAGTCGGACGATTTTTTTATTCGTTGGTGATAACGTCGGTCGAACGAACGACCGATTTTTCGTTTATCGTTTGAAAATTCGGCCGATGTTTGACCCGTCTATGGTCTGCATTAGTGTCTCAAGAAATGAGATAGGCCGTCAGTACATAAGGTTTGCTCAGGTGTGTTCAATTTTCAATGATTGGTACCATAGCTTGTAGGCTTTATAGCTTCCACACAGACCAAATACTGCACACCGATTGGGATTATTTTTACCAAAGCAATGCAGCAGTAAACATTTTGGCCCAAATTTATTAAGAAAAATTACTTATTTGCAAAATTTTAGAACAGAAACGAAGCAAAATGCATTTTTTTCAAACCTTTCGGTCTTTTTTAATTTATAGCACAAAAAAAACCCAACCCAGTACCAATTAAATGCCACCAAAAGAAAGCTCTATTTGTGTGAAAAAAGGACAAAAATGTCATTTGGGTACAATGTTGCATGACTGAGCAATCATCATTCAAAGTGTGAAAGCTGAAAATTGGTCTGGGCAGGAAGGGGATAAAAGTTCCCGGTGTTGAGGTGGTTAAATCATAATGATAACAGAAATCACACTAATGGTCCTGATCCAGTGTACATACCCTGGAATGTTTAGCCTTGGTAATACACAGATTAAAATGGCAATTAAAAGTTAATTTCCCACATCCCACTGTGCCTTTTTAATTTGCAATTAGTGTCTGCGTATAAATAGTTAAGAGTTTGTTAGCTCTCATGTGGATGCACTGAGCAGGCTAGACACTGAGCCATGGGGAGCAGAAAAGAACTGCCAAAAGACACGCGCAACAAGTTAATGGAACTTTATAAGGATGAAAAGGGATATAAAGAGATATCCTTGTGCCTCTGTACCAAGGCCAAACATTCCACGGTATGTAAACCTTTGATCAGGGCTATTTGGATGATCTCTGTTATCGTTATGATTTAAAAAGGAGCCAAACCTGGCTAATGGGTTCTCCCATGTTCGGCACTTCCTGACTTCCAGGTCCTTTCCCACCTGGAACTCCCTCCCGTAGACTCATGCCATCCCTCAGTCGGAGTTCTTCCATTATCTCCAGCTACAGCACTGGCTGACTTCCTTACGCAGAACTTCCACATACCCGTTCCAGAAGTCTGCCTTTAAGCATATTAGTCAGCATTGGCCCGGTTCCCTGGGTCTTATCTCAGCTCTTTATGCCTCCTTGAATAGACGCCCTCCTCATACCTCCCTTTCTTATGTTACACAGTGGGAGCGAGGCCTGGTCTTCTGTGGCTAAATGCTCATTTAATTCAGCCACGTTGTAGGTGATGTTTCGTTGGTACTGGGTTCCGGCCCGTATTGCCCGTGCAAACCCGTCCTATAGTGACCGCTGCTTTCGGGGTTGTGGTACTGGGGGGGGTGTTTTACACATATGGTGGCCATGCCCTAAATTAAAGTTCGATTTTGGTCCCACGTATTTGGCCTTCTCTATACCTTGTTTCACCTAACCATAAGCAGGGAAGCCAAGTTTGCCTTGCTGCATTGCCCCATACCAGGCTTGTTTTCCCACCAGCAGAAGCTGGCCTCCTATCTGTTTTTGTCGACCACTAGAACGATAGCCCAAGCCTGGAAAAGAGCGTCAGTCCCCCTTCAGGGGGTGTGAGAGCGTATGACTGCTCTGATGCTCAATGAACAGATGTCGAGTATCTGCAATGATTCTCAGCATAGGTTTCTCAAAATTTGGGAACAGTGGCTGATGTACACTTTTCCCACACTTCCCTGGCTAGTTTGGGCCTGCTCTGATGGGTGGTCCTGATGTTCCTGAGTCCCTGTTTCTCTTTTCTTGTTCTGGTTTATGTGCTGGCCTTTCTTTCAGTTGCTTCTTTTCTCACCCTGTCTCTCCCCTTTTTCCAATTCATTCTCCTCTTTACCTAGTTTTGTTTGCGCTGCAGGCGGAGGGCTTACACGCCTTTGGATGGACCCCGAGGGCATTCCGCTGTTGCAGAAGGGACCCTCTTAGTCGCTTATTGCCTGTTATTATGTAGTGTAATAGGTTCCTACTGTGGTGTCAGTTTACACCTGACGTTTGCTGTTTTTTGTTTATTGTCTTCAGTGTATCTATGTGTTTACTTAAACAATATGTGCCATTGCTAGCCCCTGCATGGGCGATCCTGATGCATATATGTTTTTTATTGAAATAAAAAAAAGGAGAAAAAACAACTATGTGATAATAAACGACTTCATATGATCACTATCCTTAAATAATTTTTTGGCATGATCAGTCATATTTTCAATATCAATGCCAGATTTTTAACGATTTCTGCCAGGGTATGCAAACTTTTGAGCTCAACTGTAAATTGATTAGCTGAACTCCAGACAAACAAACAGTTGAAAGAAAATGTGTAAATTTGTGTGGCAAAAGTTATGGAATCAGTATCAGATAATCTGTACAAGGGGTTACAGGAGACAGACATCAAGAACAATTTCTGGTACTTATACTAGCTAAATGTATTAAAAAAAAGAATGCACCTTGAAGTAGAACTAAATGCATTTTTTTTTCCATTAAGGGAGGATTATAACCAGTCAGTTTTTTTTTTACCATCTGTGTGCCATTGGGAAGATTCCCTTTCACTTCCTGTCCCATAGCCAAAACAGAAAGTGAGAGAAAATCCCTCCCTTCACAGGCGTTCAAATCCCCCTTTACTCTATCTTGAGAAAGGTTTTGCCCCTCATTATACTTTAAAAGATTACAGAACTAAATTAAAGTGTTTTTTTGTAATTTGCTAGTTCAGCTTTAACCTGCCAGCTTGTTTTTTGGGTTTACGATAGGAACCAGAGTGTACATACTGTAACTCTAAACAGACTGCCCCTGGGAATTAAAACCAGGACTACCGCACTCTAAGCAAAGGAGCAAACCATTTAACCACTGTGTGTAAATAATATCTCAGCTATCAGAGATTGTCTACAAATATGTATGTGTAAAGTCCTATTTTATTTTTAATAAAGGGGTGTCCTTTTTTAAGAAAGTACTCTGGGTTTGTGGTATATGGTAAAATGTAAATAGCATTTAATACAATTTCTAAAATAAGTGTAACTATTTCAAATTGTGGAAATCAGCTTTTTAAGCTAATCTGCAATTAGGGACAGGCTGAAGGCATGGGGAGGAACTGCCCACGAAGTCAGGAAGTAGGCAAGATGAAGAGGAGAGCAGGCTTACATATATACACTGCAGAGGTCATCCTGTCCTGCGTTCAGATTTAGATTCTAACTGTGGAGGACAAGGAGCTGTACATGATGTTCCTGGCTTCTGCAGCTATCAAAAGGAAACTTGTGCTAAGAGAAACATGAAAGCCGCTGTTGCTTACCTCCTTCTAAACACTCTAGTTGCCTGGCTGTAATGCTGAACTGTTAACCTGGAATAAGCATACAACAAATGAAGTCAGAGCCATGCATGCTTGTTGCAGATCAGTAACTGAAAGAACTGAAGTCACCATTTCAGCATGATAGGCCACAAATGACAACAATAAACCCTAAGGGTTTTCTTGGCACAGGTTTCCTTTAACCTATCACTTTCATCTATCAAGGCTTCTAGCCATTCTTCTGTTAATCTCTGTCAAGGTTGAGATGTGTCCCTTTGTATCTCTGCTTTGGCTCCAAAGTATTTTGATTTCAATATTCCATCCCACATTCTGAATTCCCCCTTTTGAGAAACCTACTTAAATTTGTAGTAGCCATCTAAGACTGATAAAAAAAAATGCAAATCAAACCAAGCAAAGTATACCCCTCTGGTGTTTGCACCTAAAATCATGATAATGCCCTCAGTGACACTGATACTGTGTGATTCTATACCACTTACTAAATCTAAGGATGGATTAACTACAACTACAGCATTTTTCATTTCCAGCTGAAGTTATATCCTGTGCCTGGTCATGGAATAAATGTGTTCCTCACCTGTTTCTTTACAGAACGCTTATGAAGGACCTCCCGTCGCAAATACTTCACACGCTTCTGCAGCTTCTTGTATTTATGTTTGTTCATCTTCCTACTTCGGATCTTAAGGATGTTTATGCATTGAACTATATGCTTGTGTCCGCTTTCCTCACCCGTGTGGTCAGTGTCTTGTGAAGTAGGGCAATCGTAGATCTTTAATTGGTCTTCAGGCTCCTCCTGATTATTGGAGGCCTCAGGTTTGGGCAACGAGTATCGGGAGGAAAGCAAGCTCTCCAGAGGAGTGATTGACAGCATTCGAGGAACCAGAACTTCATCCAGCTCAGGTTCATGGCTGTACCAGACAGGAAGGGAAAAACGCTGTTTCTGGGGCTGCCGTGTGCTATAACAAGCAAAAAAGCTCTTCTGGCTTGTACCAAGGCACCGTGGCGTTATATATCCTAGAACACAGAGAAAGGTTACCAAAGTCTGTCATGTACAAGGCTTGTTCAAAGCATCTAAAATCACTCAGATGCAAATTTTGATTTTTTTCTTAAATTTCCTTGCTTACATTTTAATGCCATTACAAGGGAAATAAAAGCATAACATGATAATTAAAGTGTATCTAATCCCAAATGCAATATATTGCAGCTTACCAGACCTTATATGTGGTGGCTGCATTTGTTTTCTTCCTTCAGGCATTTCCCTTTATACTGACCTGGTGATCCTGGGAATAACACACTTCCTGTCCCTTTGTGGATACACTTACTCCTTCACTGTAGCTATGGAGGCAGCCCAGGCTGGACTTCAAAAATTCCAGTTACATTTGACTAAATATTTCTAACTATATAAATACATATTGTTAATAAAGTTACTTATATCTGTGACAATGGCCAATGTCACAATTGTGATCTTGCCACTGACGAGTTCTCCCCTGTGGCAGGATTGCTATGAAGGCAGTGAAGTGAAACACTCACTTGCTTGCAAGTTGCTCCCTTAACGTCTGGATCCATGAGGTGTTGCTCTTTCACTGGCAACTTACATTCTGCAGCGTTTTTAGTCAAGAGGGAACGACCCACTCTGATACAGATGGTGAGGGAGCTACACATACAAGAAGGTGAAAGATCTTCACTTTTTAATGATTCTGTAGCTGAGGACTTCTCATCAGTGATTGCAACACAAGTGTGATGTTGGCCTTACTGTGTCACAAAAGCAAACAAAAATATGACATTTACCAAAGGTAAAAAGGAAAATGTCTGTCATGACAGGAAAGAAAAAGACAAGTAACAAAAAGTATTTACAAAGCGGATTATATCAGTGTCATATCTTTCAACAGTAAACTTGGCAGCAAGTTATGGATGGGCAAAATGCTGGAAGGCTTGATCCAGTTACCTGCTAGCCTTGTGGCTCTACTCAAGTGAGGCATCAGTCTTGTGAGCCACATCTTCACACAGAAGGTCAGGGGACTCCAGCTGGAAAACAAATGATTAAAAATACATTATAACACAAACCACACTGGGGATTACCAATAAACACTTTTGAAGTGTAAAGGCAGAAGGATTTTTTCTGCAAGCAGCAGCCCCTGTTATACTTACTCGAGTCTGATCTCGATGCAGTGATGTGCACCAGAGCAGAGGCTCTCTCCCTCCTCATTGGCTCAAACACAGCAGTGAGAGCCATTGGTTCCCACTGCTGTCAATCACAGCCAGTGAATAGTGAACAGGGGGTGGGGCTGAGCTGAGTTCTATGTGTCTAGTGAGTACCCAGGTGTGCCACCATAGGAAGTGGCTTCCTATGGTTGCACACTAAGAAGAGGAGGAGCCTGGAGCGCCAACAGGGGATCCGAGGTAAGTATGACATGCTTGTTATATTTAAAAAAATTAAAAAGCAAGATTTACAATGACTATAACCTCCTCATTACCATGCCATAGCTGAAAGACGATACAGCTCAGTTCTCTTGTTCTGGGGGAATGTCTATAGGCGTCCCCCGAAAACGCACCTCCCGTTCGCCCTGTGATCATGGAGTCCTTTGTACACAGCTGATCACAGATCGAGGTAAAGGGTCAATCCCAGCGGCTCTTTACCATGTGATCAGATGTGTCCAATCACAGCCGATCCCATGTAAAGAAACACCAGTTATCAGCATTTCCTTTCCTTCATGTGCTGTAACTGTGTGAGGAACCAGCCATCCTGACAGGACACATTTACACTAATAGTCAGGGCACTATTCATCAGTGCAGTCCGTTTAGTGCCACCTCCAGATCATATGAATAAAGTCTGCTGGACCTCTGTCACATCTAAGGACACAGATCTGTGTCTCTACAATTCCATCTATGTAATTTAACTGAGGTGTGATAAATCCTATGAAGAATACATAGTTGGGCAAGTCTCTGCGTCGGTGACAAGGATACTATAACGAGGGATTGTAAGGCTTGCTCCCATAGTTTCTCTCTTAATGGCCTATATCTTACTCCCATAATCTAGCTGGGATATAGGTGCGTGTATGTATCTCCACCATCAGGGTCCTGTATAGTTGGAAGATGAGCCCTTTTTTAGAATTGGTTTGCTTGAGTAACCGTAAAATGTAGTTTTTATTTTCTACTAGTTTCTACACTATATTGCCAAACGTTTTGGGACACTTCTCCAAATCATTGGATTCAGGTGTTCCAATCACCTCCATGGTCACAGGTGTATAAAATCAAGAACCTAGGCATGCAGACTGCTTCTACAAACATTTGTGAAAGAATGGGTCGCTCTCAGGAGCTCACTGAATTCAAGTGTGATACCGTGACAGGTTGCCACCTGTGCATTAAGAGTCACATGCAGTGGTGTAAAGCATGCTGCCACTGGACTCTAGAGCAGTGGAGATGTGTTGTTTAGAGTGACCAATCACGTTTCTCTGTCTGGAAATCCGATGGACATGTCTGGGTTTGGCGGTTGACAGGAGCAGGGCTGTGGAGTCGGAGGAAATTTTGGGTACCTGGAGTCGGAGTCGGCAAACAATGCTCCAACTCCGACTCCGATTAAATTTAGATTGGAATTAAAAAAAAAGCAAGTTTAAATGTCCCGATTCACAAAAAGTTATAATTAATGACTTCTCTACTGTGAGAATAAAGACCAATGCATGCAGTGCCTCACGTAAGCGCAAAACGAACACGTTAAGTGACCGTGAAGAAGCATGCTTTTCATGTGCTTCACTATATGGCACGCAACGCACAATTAGGAGCGGCAATACTTATACTTTCCATAGTGTTTTACAGATTTTGTTTTTGGTTCATATAGATAAGCTTTGTTTTTGTTCTAAAACAACCAAATAATGTGGTTTGTATTTTTGGACTGGTAAAGTTCCTGTTCCTGATGTTTATGCCTGCTGCTACTATCCAGCCACTTGATTAATTAATAAAAAAAAATTAATAAAACTTTGTTGTTTTCATTGTGTTTGTCTTTTGCTTAAACTGTTCAAAAGAGTAGACTGTTGGCTTCCCAGCCAGTAGTCCTGTGGTAATGATATGTATGTTGCCTTTCTTTCCTTCAAGGAATGTATAAAATACATTTGCATATTAATACAGAGGAGTCGGAGTCGGAAGTACAAAAAACTGAGGAATCGGAACATTTATCTACCGACTCCACAGCCCTGGACAGGAGAACGGTACTTGCCTGACAGCATTGTGACAAGTGTACAGTTTGGTGGAGGGGGGATTATGGCGTCGGGTTGTTTTTCAGGGGTTGGGCTTGGCCTCTTAGTTCCAGTGAAGGGAACTCTTAAGGCGTCAGCATACCAAGACATGTACAGTATTGAGAGTGAATGATGGATTGGGGTGCCAATTGTGTATTTGTTTGTTTAAAAACAAAATGCAAAAAAAATCTAATAAAAAGGTCTGATTAAAAAAAAATTAGGAACTCTACTCAGGTAATGAAAAACAACACAAAAAAACTATTTTTGTAAATTGCACCATTTCATGTGCATGGGCTGGATTCACATTTCCAAATCACAGTAAAGAGTGAATTTTGCATTGGAATTGCACCCCATTGTTGTACTAATATAGTGTGTTGCATTAGGAGAAAGGAGTCGCGCCATTTTCAGATTGTTGGCTGTGTAGGCAGCAACTTAATTTTAAATAGGCTTCCTTAACATAAAGCACATTAACCCCTTCGTACCTAAGGGTAAAACAAATGTTAATGCCTAAGCATTGGAACTTTGGACATGTGTTAGCAAAACTGTACATATCATCACAACTACTGCGTCCATCCAGGTGGATTACACCTTGCTTTTTTTTTTTAGACATTAGTACGGGAACTGGGCCTCTTGTTGAGACCCTAGTCTCTGTAGTGGAAGCGCGGTGTGCTCACAGCACAAAGACAGATACGCAAATATGCAGCCCCATGGAAAAAAGCCCAGTCCAGTGCTGCCATATACTTGTCTATGCTTGAAGCCAAGGGATTAAAGTAGAACTAAAGGCCACACTTTTTTACCCTTCTGGATTGGGGCGGGGTTATAACTCTTCCATGTCCCTGACGTCGTCATTGTGACGAAAAACACGTCGGATGGAGTCTGTGCTCCTGACGTCATCACGCTGTTTCCGATTACCAGGAAGTTGGATTGGTTTCTGGGACCAGAGGTCTTATTTTTGTACACAGTGCATATTTGTCTACTTATATGTGAGTGGAATTCAACACTTTTAATAAAATTGTCCATATGGTTTTTACGCGATGTTTGCTCTCCTGTTTCTTCCTTTACAGTCTAACTGAATGCACATATCGGAGAGACAAATAAGATGGGGATAGTCTGAAGGGATGCTTTCCGCTCATTGTCCAGCATCTTTCCCCTGCTTGAGAGTTATGGTGGATATACATCTTCAGCCCATTACAATCATGCGTTAGTTTAAGAGTCCACATGTTCCGGTAAGAGTCCTACCAATACTTGGTGGTGGTGCACTTTAATTTCAAGGTACGCGGTGTTTGTTTACACAATAACAGAATATTGGCACTTTATTCACGATTTCTTTATTGGGACTTGATTATATGTTGCTCTTTTCACTCATATAATTTTCATTCTTTCTGTATTTATTTTGACAACAATGAAGGTGTAGCACAGCAATTTATTTATGCTTAGGGATTATATCCCTGTCAGTGGTTTCTTTATCATCTGTGTCTGATTGGGGAGATTCCCTTCACTTCCTCTTTATTAGACAAAACAGGACGTGTTTTGTCTATGTGAAGGAGTCCCGGGGTGTCCCCATTGGATGATGTTCCCTCTATTCCTGTTCTGGTGACAACACATTTGGGTTTTTTTTTTATATTCATACTCACAGAATGAACAGAGAGTGAATCTTCCTAATGGGGGCACAGACAGATAAAAAAAAATTGGGACTGGGGATTTAATCCCTTTAATACCAAACTAAAAATAAAGTCTTGCCTTTAGTTCTACTTTAAGATACTACAGAGATGCCAATGGCTGTTCATCCTTCCGAATGACAGGTTCTCTTCAAGTCAGAATATTGGCATGGCATATAAACATTGAAGTGACTGAGGAGCCCTTAGCACAGCGTGCAGCCCATACACCGATGGAGGGACTGCAGCAGCATGCTGGGTGTCCATAGGCTGACATGACACCTCTCTCTCATACACAGCTCGGCTCTCAGTATATGTGAGGAGCTCCAACCAGTCTTCCTCCACACACACACACATTACATACCTGACCTCAGTGCACAGACCAGCTTCTCCCACACTCAGCTTCCGGCTACACGCACACAGCTTCCGCTCCATCACTAATTCTTCCCCTAGTACCCGGCGCACAAAGGTTCCGTGCTGGCAGAGCTCCCTCTGGTGTCCATAAGGGGAATCGCAGCCAGAGGACCATATGGGCTTATGCATTATATTGCCATAAGTATTGGTCAGTCTGCCTTTACACACACATGAACTTTAATGGCATCCCAGTCTTAGTCCGTAGGGTTCAATATTGAGTTGGCCCGCCCTTTGCAGCTACAAGAGCTTCACCTCTTCTGAGAAGGCTGTCCACAAGGTTTAGGAGTGTGTCTATGGGAATGTTTGACCATTCTTCCAGAAGCACATTTGTGAGGTCAGGCACTGATGTCGGACAAGAAGGCCTGGCTCACAGTCTCGGCTCTAATTCATCCCAAAGGTGTTCTATCGGGTTGAGATCAGGACTCTGTGCAGGCCAGTTAAGTTCCTCCACCCCAAACTCGCTCATCCATGTGTTTATGGACCTTGCTTTGTGCACTGGTGCGCAGTCATGTTGGAACAGGAAGGGGCCATCCCCAAACTATTACCAGTACTTCTTTGTGTTTTTTTGGGGGTGACACTTGGGGTAGGTAGGCAGCGCAGGAGGATCATCTCTATACTATGTAAACAATACAGTTCTCTCCCCTGTCAGCTCCTGCATACTGCTTTATATGGCTCTGCATAGCAGAGCCATACAAAGCAGTGTGCTTACAGTGAAGCACGCAGACACAGCGCAACAGTAAAATAGCACACAATTAACCCTTTGATCGCCCCCTATGTTAACCCTTTCCTGCCTAGTGTCTTTACTACAGTGTCAGTGCTTTTTTTCAGCACTGATCACTGTATTGGTGTCACTGTGGATGTCAGTGACACCAAGTCAGTCCCCCCCAGTGTCAGAATGCCCACCGCAGTCCCGCTAGAAGTAGTTGATTGCTACTAAAAACTAAAAAATCCCAGTATATATACCGCCATTTATAAATGCTATACCTTTCACGTAAACCAATTAATTTACATGTATTTTGATTTTTTATTAGCAAAGACATGTCGCAGAATACATTTTGGCCTAAATTTATGATAAAATTTGATTTTTAAAATTTTTTTACTGGACATATTTAACCGGTTCCCACCCGGCCAATAGCACAAAGGTGGCCGGCAAAACACCTCGTCCCTCTGGGTGGACGCCATATTCCAGAGACACAGCGGTCAGCAGGCAGGAACAGCTTTCCAGGGACAAATCGGTCCACAGACAGGGATCACTTTCCAGGGACAACCAGCGATCAGCAGACAGGGACCCTCACGGTAATCAGCGTTCCAGGGACAACAGCAGTCAGCAGACAGGAACAGCTTTCCAAGGACAACCAGCGATCAGCAGACAGGGACCCTCACGGTACTCAGCTTTCCAGGGACAAAGCGGTCCGCAGACAGGGATCACTTTCCAGGGAGGAACAGCGATCAGCAGACAGGGACCCTCACGGTACTCAGCGTTCCAGGGACAACAGCAGTCAGCAGAAAGGAACAGCTTTCCAGGGACAACCAGCGATCAGCAGACAGGGACCCTCACGGTACTCAGCTTTCCAGGGACAACAGCGGTCAGCAGACAGGGATCGCTTTTCAGGGACGACCAGCGATCAGCAGACAGGGACCCTCACGGTACTCAGCTTTCCAGGGACAAGAGCAGTCAGCAGACAGGAACAGCTTTCCAGGGACAAAGCGGTCAACAGACAGGGATCGCTTTCCAGGGACGAACAGCGATCAGCAGACAGGGATCCTCACGGTACTCAGCTTTCCAGGGACAACAGCTGTCAGCAGACAGGAACAGCTTTCCAGGGACAACCAGCGATCAGCAGACAGGGACCCTCACGGTACTCAGCTTTCCAGGGACAACAGCAGTCAGCAGACAGGAACAGCTTTCCAGGGACAACCAGCGATCAGCAGACAGGGACCCTCACGGTACTCAGCTTTCCAGGGACAACAGCAGTCAGCAGACAGGAACAGCTTTCCAGGGACACAGCGGTCAGTGGACAGTCAGCGGGGTCTGGGCTGTGGGGTCTGGCCTCAGCTCAGACCTCACACAGTTGTTCTCTTCCAGAGCAGGGGACCAACAGGCTTGCAGGGACTCGGCAGGGACTTGGCTGTGGGGTCTGACTTCAGCTCAGACCTCACACAGCACCCTGTCCCGAGCGGGGGACGAACTCGCAGGCTGTGTCCCGCTCCGGCCTTCTTAAGGCCGGAGCAGGACACTTTCCAGTTGCCCTGGCAATGTCCGGCCCAGCGTCGCGTTGCCGAGGCAAGGAGGCACACCCCCCTGACTCAAGGCGCGCTCTTTGGGAAGCCTCGTGCCCGTGCTGTGCCCCCGGGGGGGGGGGGGGACATCCGGGCAGCCTACGCCTGAGGTTTTCTGGCAGAGGGTCACGACTCTCCGGCGACATTGCCGGGAGATGTGCGACCCGCACCACAGGGGCCGCTTCCTCCCATCCTGCACAGCCTTTGAAATAGGCTGTGATAGGATGTGAGGAATCTGCAAGGGGGGAGGGAGCGGTGAAGGGACAGGCAGAGAGACGGCAGGCACAGGGGGGTGGGGGTGGGGGCACGGGGCACACCGTGACACCGCGCAATTTTCATTCAAAATGTGAGAGCGCTGAAACCTGAAAAATGGCCTGGACAGGAAGGGGGTAAAAGTGCCCGGTATGGAAGCGGTTAATATAAAAAAGTCAAAAATATAGTTTTTTTTCTCAAAATTGTCAATCTTTTTTTTTTATAATGCAAAAAATAAAAACCGCACCGGTGATCAAATACCACCTAAAGAAAGCTCTATTCATGGGAAAAAAAGTAAAGCAGTGCCGTAACGCAACAAATGGCCTGGCCAGGAAGGGGGGTAAATCCTTTGGAGGGCAAGTGGTTAAAGGGGTATGGTTAAAAGTAAACCTGAGCCTACACTGCTCTAGGACAGGGTGCAGGGATCAGGAGTAAATAACACACAACGTGCATGGGGTCAGGAGTATTTAACATGCAGATTGTAAGCGCCTGGAGTATGTAACACATAGAATTCAGGGGTCAGGAGTAAGTAATGCACAGAACGTAGAGGTGTAAAGTAAGTAGTGCAGAGTGCAAGGGTCAGGAGTAAGCAATGCAGGAGGGTGTTGTGGCTCAGTCGCTGTTGCCCTGCTGAGTGATAATGCCACTCGAGTGAATGTCCACAAAGGAAGTGAGATGGTAAAATTTAGTTCGCCTACTCACTCTCTGGTTAGCTGCCAGAAGTAGATACAGCAACCACATGATCTTTTCCAACCTCTGGCACTAGGGGAGAACTTAGCAGAGGACTGTCTTGTCCTCTGCACTGGACTGTTGCAGGCATCTTGGGGGAGCCTGTTTCTGATTAGACATAAAGCTCTTTCAGAATTTGGGCAGCGGTTTCAGACATAGAGGCTTTATATAGTCCCTGCTGGGTCATTTTGGCCTGCCCTGCAATGTGCAGATTGTAAGATAGGGACAGAGACTCTCTGGCCAGGGACAGACAGGCTCAGCTAGGGGGAACCTTGCAGAGGACTGACTTGCCCTCTGCACTGGACTTCTGGTGGCCATCTTGAGAGACCTTGCGTCTGACTGGAAACAGAGGTCTCTTGAGATTTAGGCAGTCATTTTGGACCTAGAGAGGCTACATGTATAGCCCCTGCTGGGTCTTTTTGGCTGATCCTGCAGTTTGGAGAGGGTGAGATAGTGACAGAGACCCACTGCCTAGGGAGAGACAGGCTTAATAAAGGAAAGGTTCTGGAAAAGTGGAGGACTGTCATCATAGTGTTGGTCCTGTCACCCCTGGAAACTACCAGCTGATTCGGGAAAGAACCCTTTCACCAGTCTTGCACCCTACGATGCCAGCACAGCATCCTATCCAGGAGGTCCAAAAAAAGTCTAGGAGACCTGTTTAAATGAGCAATCCTTGAGCACACAAGTTATGTATGCTGAACTGCAAAAGTGCCTCACTGTCCATACAGATGCTTTAAGGATAATTACCACTGTTTTTTATTCTTTACACAAACAGGAAAATTCATAGAAAACATTGTTTAACCTGGTCCCTTTTTAATAGTGACAGGCAGCCCCACCCACATTTTGATGTAGTCTAGGGGTGCTCAACCTTTTGAAGAGTGAGGGACACTTAAGTGATTTGGTAACCGGTCGCAGGCCACAGTGAAATGAAATGGTTCAGAATTTCAGATTTTTGCCGCCCAGCTTGAGCATCTTCTGGGCTGGGATACCCTTGATTTTGCAGACCCTATTCAGGCGATTTTACTGTCAATTTGGTCTGAATACTCTTTGCTTTCCCAGATGGAAGCTGAAATGTTTGCGTCATCCCAACACTCTCCCACGCTGTTTCTTTTCCATCAGTTATGGTCTTCTGTTAATAAAATACTGAAATGGGAGGGTTTTACTGATAGCACCCCACCCTGGAATAATTTGCTCCTACCGGAGGTCAACAAATTAAAAGGTTTTGGGATGTGGCAGGAAAGGGAGGGGGTGATGTATCTATCCCAACTGTATGATGGCCATGCCTTGAAGACATTTCAGGCCCTCCAGATGGAATATAATCTCCCAACACTGAAGTTTTTTTCAATACTTCCGGTAAGACATGCCCTAACTACCCAGGCTCACACATATAATTTGGCAGAGAAAAAAACACCCAATCATACGGTTACTCAAACGAACCGATTCTAAAAAAGGTCTCATTTCTCAACTATATGAGACTCTGATGATGGAGATACCCTCCCTATGGTGTCTTTGACACCAATGCAGACTCTCCCAACCCAGTTATTCATAAGGTTTATCACACTCCAGTTAAATTATATGGATGGAATCGTAGAGATTTGTGTCCTAGATGTGACAGAGGTCCGGTGGACCTTATTCACATGCTATGGAGGTGCCCAAAACTTCATAGATATTGGCATGACAATATCTCTCTTAAAAACTCCATCTATCAGGTTACCTTGCCAGCAGAACCTAAAAT